CCTACCCCAGTAATGATTAATCAGGTTCTTACTTATCTTAGCGGATTATCTGATCAGGGCCATACACCTCCAGTGTTTTCTGCACCAGCACCTCAGGTTTAGGGAGTAAAACATGCAACTGTTGTGGCTCCCCGCATGGATGCATCATTGGACGTAGACACGTTTCCTCGATTGACTACAGGGTATATAATGACAGGTGATCAGCATGAACTTTTCATTAAGTTCTTAAAGTTGAAACCTCCAGTCTTCAAGGGTGTTGAATTTGAAGATGCCTATGATTTTCTGATTGATTGTCATGAGTTGCTACATAAGATGGACATAATAGAGCGATTCGGTGTTGAGTTTGTGACCTAATATTTTCAAGGGGATGCCAAAATGTGGTGGCGATCGTATGTTGAGTGTCAACCAGCAAGGGCACCACCTATGACTTAGGCATCATTTTTCTAGCTTATTTATGGAGAAGTATATACCCCGGACTTTGAGGAATAAGAGGAGAGATGAGTTACTGATCCTAGAGCAAGGAAGGATGTCTGTTGCTGCTTATGAGGCCAAATTTTGTGCACTATCCAGGTATGCCACTCAGCTTTGCTTCAGTCCATAAGAGCGGATTCGCCGCTTTGTGAAAGGGTTGAGGTCAGATTTGCAGATTTCAGCCTTACAGGTAGCTGCTGCAGCAAAATCCTTTATGGAAGTGGTTGATTTTGTGATAGAGGTAGAGGGGGTGAAGCCGGACGACTTCACCACAGCATCGACAATGAAGAAGTTTCATAAGGGAGGTGAGTTTAGTGGTTCTTACTCCAGAGGGCAGAGGGCAAAGGTCAGGAGGTTATCCAGCCCGTCCTATTCAGTCTCCATTGCAGGCTTCAGCTGGGGGTTTGTCGCAGACCAGTCAGCCTTTTTCAGAGTTTGGAGGTTATCTACAGACTTCGTCATTTTTACAAAGACTTATACTTGACTCCAGGATTTGTTATAGATGTGGAGAGGATGGACATATTTGGAAATATTGTCCAAAACAAAGTTACAAATCCCTAGTAGTTAAAGGTAGAGGTGGTTATGGTAGAAGCCTCCATTCTGGGGGACGTGGTGGCAAAGGTAATGTTGGTCACCATTTCAGTCGGGGTGGTGGGCAACTTGGAACTACTGCAGCGCAGCTTGGTAGGGGCAATGGACAGACAGGTGATAAGACCCATTGTTATGCTTTCCCCGGTAGGTCTGAAGCAGAGACGTCTGATGTTGTTAGCACAGGTACTCTTTTGGTCTGTGATTTCATGGCTTCTGTATTGTTTGATCCTGGATCCACATTTTCATATGTATCTTCCTCATTTGCTACTGGTCTTGATTTAAATTGTGATTTGCTTGACATGCCTATTCGTGTCTCTAAATCCTGTGGGTGAGTCTGTAATAGTTGAGAAGGTGTATAGGTCATGCCTTGTGACTTTTGTGGGGAGCAATACTTATGTAGATTTGATTATTCTAGAGATGGTTGATTTTGATGTAATTTTGGGTATGACTTGGCTTTCTCCAAATTTTGCAATCTTAGATTGTAATGCTAAAACTATGACATTGTCCAAGCTTGGGACAGATCCGCTAGTATGGGAGGATGACTATATTTCCACTCCAGTTCGTATTATCTCTTTTCTTCGTGCTAAGAGGATGGTGAGTAAGGGTTGTTTAGCTTTCTTGGGACATCTCAGGGATGATACTTCCAAAGTACCTTCGATCGAGTTTGTTTCGATAGTCCGTGAGTTTCTGGATGTGTTTCCTGCAAACCTTCCTGGTATGCCATCGGATAGGGATATTGATTTTTGTATTGATCTGGAACCGGGTACTCGCCCCATTTCCATTCCCCTTTATAGAATGGCTCCAGCCGAGTTAAGGGAGTTAAAGGCCCAACTTCGGGAGTTGTTAGGTAAAGGTTTTATTAGACCGAGTGCATCCCCTTGGGGTGCTCCTGTTTTATTTGTGAAGAAGAAAGATGAAAGTTTTCGGATGTGCATAGACTACAGGCAACTAAATAAGGTAACTATTAAGAACAAGTATCCCATTTCTCGCATTGATGATTTGTTCGATCAGTTACAAGGTGCTTGTGTCTTCTCTAAAATTTATTTGAGATCCGGTTATCATCAATTGAAAATACGGGCAACAGATGTGCCAAAGACTGCTTTTCGAACCAGGTATGTGCATTATGAATTCTTAGTAATGTCTTTTGGGCTTACGAATGCCTCTGCTGCTTTCATGGGCCCGATGAATGGGATTTTTAAGCCATATCTGGACCTCTTTGTTATTGTATTTATTGATGATATACTGGTATACTCAAAGAGCAGGAAAGAACATGAGGAGCATTTGAGAATTGTATTGGAGTTGTTAAGGGAGAAAAAACTTTATGCCAAATTCTCCAAGTGTAAGTTTTGGCTCGATTCAGTGTCCTTCTTCGGGCACGTTGTTTCTAAGGATGGAGTGATAGTGGATCCTTCTAAGATTGAAGTAGTGAAGAGTTGGGTAATACTACTAATGTTTTAGAGGTAAAGAGATTTGTTGGTTTAGCTAGCTACTACCGTCGATTCGTCAAGGGATTTTTTTCTATTGCTTCGCAGCTGATAAATTTGACTAAGCAGAATGTTCCATTTGTATGGTCGGATAAATGTGAAGAAAGCTTCCAAAAACTTAAGACCTTGTTGACTACTGCGCCAATTCTTACCTTGATAGTGGCAGGTAAGAATTTTATTATTTATTGTGATGCATCTTATTCTGGTTTAGATGCAGTGCTAATGCAAGAGAGGAATGTAATTGCTTATGTTTTGAGGCAATTGAAAATGCATGAACGTAACTATCAGACCCATGATTTGGAGTTGGCTGCAGTTGTATTTGCATTAAAGCAATGGAGACATTATCTATATGGGGTCAAGTGTGAAGTTTATACAGATCATCGTAGTTTACAGTATGTCTTTACTCAGAAAGATTTGAATTTGAGGCAGAGGAGGTGGATAGAACTATTTAAAGACTATGATATTACTATTTTGTATCACCCAGGAAAAGCTAATGTTGTGGACGATGCTTTAAGTAGAAAAGCAGGGAGCATAGGTAGTTTAGCCTACTTACAGGTTCTAGACTCTCACTGGCTAGAGAGGTTCAAACTTTGGCTAATGACTCTATGAGGTTAGAAGTACTAGAGAAAAGAGGATTTTTGGCCTGTGTCGAGGCAAGATCTTCTTTTCTTGACAAGATTAAGGGAAATCAGTTTGCTGATGAGAATCTGAGCCGAATTCGAGATATGGTATTGCGAGGAGAGGCTAAAGAGGCAGGAATTGATGAAGAAGGCGTCTTGAGGATTAAGGGAAGGGTATGTGTGCCCCGTGTGGATGATTTAATTCACACTATTCTTACAGAGGCTTAAAGTTCAAGGTATTCTATACATCCTGGTGCAACCAAGATGTATCGTGATCTAAAACAACATTTTTGGTGGAGTAGAATGAAGCGTGACATTGTTGATTTTGTTGCCCAATGCCCGAATTGTCAGCATGTAATGTATGAACACCAGAGGCCTGGAGGGACACTTCAGAGAATGCACATTCATGAATGGAAGTGGCATAGAATTGCAATGGATTTCGTAGTTGGTCTTCCAAAGACATTGGGTAAGTTTGATTCTATTTGGGTAATTGTTGACAGGTTAACTAAGTCTTCTCACTTCATCCCGGTTAAGATGACTTACAATGCTGAGAAATTAGCTAAACTATATGTCTTTGAGATTGTTCGATTGCATAGAGTTCCACTTTCCATAACATCAGATAGAGGTACGCAATTTACTTCTATGTTTTGGAGGACATTACATGCTGAATTAGGTACTTGACTGGATCTTAGTACTGCATTTCACCCTCAGACTGATGGGCAGTCAGAGCGAACAATTCAAGTGCTGCAGGACATGCTTCGTGCTGTGTGATAGATTTTGGTGGTCATTAGGATAAATTCTTACCCTTAGCAGAGTTTTCGTACAACAATAGCTATCATTCGAGTATTGATATGGCCCCATTTGAGGCATTGTATGGGAGGAGATGTAGGACCCCTATTGGTTGGTTTGATGCATTTGAGGTTAGACCTTAGGGTACTGATCTTCTGAGGGAATCATTAGAGAAAGTGAAATTTATTCAAGAAAAGCTTTTAGTAGCTCAGAGTAGGCAGAAAGAATATGCAGATCGAAAGGTTAGAGACTTGGATTTTATGGAGGGTGAACAAGTCTTGCTGAAGGTTTCACCCATGAAAGGTGTGATGCGATTCAGTAAGAGAGGTAACCTAAGTCCGAGGTATATTGGACCATTTGAAGTACTTAAGCACGTGGGGGAGGTGGACTATGAATTAGCCTTGCCTCCAGGACTGTTAGGAGTGCACCCGGTATTTCATGTGTCTATGCTGAAAAAATACCATGGTGATGGAAACTACATTATTCGTTGGGATTCAGTTCTTCTTGATGAGAATCTGTCTTATGAGAAGGAGCCTGTTGCTATTCTAGATATGGAGGTCCCCAAATTGAGATCAAAAGAGATTGCTTCTATCAAGGTTCAGTGGAAGAATCGGCCAGTTGAAGAGTCCACTTGGGAGAGTGAAGCTGATATGCATGAAAGATATCCACATCTTTTTACCGATTTAGGTACTCTTTCTCGCCCTCGCCCTTCTTTTGATCGTTCGAGGACGAACGATGGGTAAATTGTAACGATCATTTTCAATCATTTTGAGCACTAGAACTTTTTATGTCAGAAAATACTTTTTGATAGATTTAAATGGGTGTTTTGGGCTATTCATAATTATAACTATGAAATTAATGGGGTAGTTTTACTAATTCATTTAGTTAGTGATTAAGAAAATAATATTAAAATAAATAGTGGGTCACTTTTACCACTTTTATAATTAATTACATAATATTTAGGGTAAAAAAAATAACCTGTAGAAAAAAATCGGGAAAAGAGGGGAGAAGGAAAAATAAACCTTGCGAAATTTTCAGGGGGCATCTACTAGTGAAGATCGGCATCCAGGTAATGTTATTCCTCAATTGACTTAATTAATTGTTTGTTTAGAATTACAATTAGGCGTATGCATGAGTGGTGGAGGCGTTGGGTTGTTGATGTAGTATTACAAGTTAATAGTAATATTATTATATTGTTGGACAGGAAATCTCCCCCTATTTAGAAGACACAGTTTAGAGGGACGAACACAACAACACAAATTTGTACCAAAAGCAAGTTTAATTGTACACCTTTCTTTTCATAAAATGTATGTATTGTAATATTTTAACACGTGTAGCTTTCTTTCTCTGCATAATACATCTATACTATATTTACCCATCTAGACCCTATTATTGAAGAAGAACCGACCATTTATTTCTCTCAAAGCCGGTGAAAGAGGATTAGAAATTTCTTCCTATTCAGGTTCAAATTTGTTCATACCTTTTGATATTTGCTTATTCTTATCTTCTGAGGAAGAATCTTGATGTTCATCTACTTATAGCAAAACTAACATACTCAAATCTTCCAAAAACAACAAATTCACACACCCTTTATTGAAAGAAGTTTTTTCTTGTGTTTGTTTGTCAGATTTGTTAATGCTTTTTTAGTCCAAACATATTTCAATCTAGATGAACACTGGCAAGCCCTTGAAGTTGCTTATCGAATCTCACTTGGGTTTGTGTTTTTTTCACAATTCTTGGGTTTTTTTGTTAATTTTTTTATTACTGATTTGGGATTTTCTTTTTGTTGGCAGATATGGACATTTGACGTGGGAATGGGAAAAGGGTATAAGGAGTTATTTTCATCCAGTGATATTTACTGGATTGTATAAAGTTCTTGCCCTTTTTCATCTTGACAAACCTTGTTTCATGGTAATTATGAGTTTGTTTGTTTTTGATTTTTTTCAGCTTTGTTTGGGTTGATTAATGTGAACTGAAAGTGAAAAGATTGATACTTGATTGTGTATTTGATACATTAGGTAAGAATTGGATATCCTGGTTGCCTGCCTAATGTATCAAATAATGGTAGAGAAGCAGCTTCAAAGGCAAGGTAAGATTATACATTTAATGGCAAGGTAAGATTATACATTTAATCTCAGATGAACTTTGTTTTGACAACATGAACTCGATAATTATTTGTAGATGTCTACATCTTTATGGGTTTGGCATTTGTTGAAGAACTTTTCTTTCACTTTATGAAATTTTAGTATATATTTTGACCTTATAGACTAAACTGAAAAGACGCTGATATTTTATATTTAGGCGAAAATATTTTTATGTTTAGGCAAACTTAATTCGAATCCTTTTTAATCATGTAAATTTTTCCGTCTTAAATGTTGTTCACCGTGAATAAAGTACTGACAATTGAATGCATTGATGAAGCACTTATATTTTTCTTAATTGTCTTCCACAATTTTTCTTAATTGTCTTCCACAATTTTTCTTGGATTCTTGTGAGTTCTGACTGATGTCTCTTAAAATACATTCATAATTTTGTTGTCAATATTATGCACGTCTAGATCTAAAATACTAAAAATTAGTAGTATTTTCTTATCAATATATGATACTTTTTGTAGATAAGTAATGGCTTGATGTGGTCACATGTTTGACGAGTTTTCTCAGTGAAGGTATGACTTGTGTATTATGAAGAGAGATTAGTTACAAGAGTTGATTATGTTGGTGGAATGAAGTTGAACGGTGAGCTTAGATGAATAGACATTTTCCTCTATAATATCTTTTTTTCATATGGTATTTTTCCCCAATAAAATGAGTAATTTTTATATGTTAAAGGTTTCTACTTTGGAGTGATTTTATTTTCCTGTGATGTCACAACTTTAAGGCATTATTGAGAAAGAATTTGAGCTGCCGAATTTTTTGATGCTGCCATGAAATAAGAAGTTATATCGTAATGCTAAAATTTCAGGGTAAGCTTTCACTATTGATCTTTTTGTTGGTTGAAGTTGAACTACATTTTTGAAAAAATTCAGCTACTAATATAGTTAGCTGAGGTGGTATTCAAAAAAATTGTTTTAAATTACATAGTCAGAAATAACAAACAGGTTGAATCAGGCAAAAATGTTGATTTCAGGCTCTCCAATCTCCAAGTTCTCTAAGGTACCATTCCCATTTTCTTAAGAAGCTTTGAACTTTTTGGCCGTTTTCTTTTGACAATTGAATTTTTTCGCTATTCTGTGTTATTTATTGATAATGTCCCTTGATGTTGGTGTTGCATTTATTTTTTAGTAGTTCTTGGATAAAAGCTGAAACATTAATATTGAAAATTCTATTACTACATTGAGTTCTAGAAGTCTGTCATATGATCTTATACTTTCTCAAAGTTTCTGCCTCATGTGTTCATATTAGTTAAGATACAATTGATGATGTTAGAAATTTTTTTCATCTGATCAATCAAAAAAAATGAAAATAGGAAATCTAGCAAATAAGTAACAATGTTGATGCTAGAAAAAAAATTGAGAAATGAGAGTAATAAAATGTCCACTTAATGGAAGAATCCTATAAGACTAACACTTTTCTTTAATCTCGAGTTTGTTGCTCAAGAGTAGCTACTATTCAAGTTTCTTCTGATAACTCTAGACGAGTTAATAAAATAAAGAAATAATAATGACGATTTCAAGTACTAAATTGATAGTTCAATTTGAAAATATTGATTGAAATCCACAAAACAAATCCGCTATGAAATTCATATCATTAAATACAATTACAGATTGTCGACCTACTAATAACTATTTATGTTCGACAAATGTTCGATAGAACTTTGAGTGCATCACTGATGAAAATAAGTAGAATGTTTATAGTACTTATATGTAGGTATCTGCTTATGGGAAGAGGAAAATCACGACTCACAAAAATGCAAGTGATATGATTAAGCTCAGTAGAATTGTTGTCGCAAAAGTAATACAAATTTTTGTTGTATTTGAACTCACTTTGTTGAACAAGACACAAGTCCTACTTGATATTTTCAAATATACATATGTCCCTTTTCAGTAGATAAGACATGTTCCATTTGCTACTTACCAGAGACACAACTATGACCACCTCCGTTCATCATCTCTGTCATTTACCTAGAAGATTAGAAGCAACTTTCAAAATCTTCAGGTGTGATAATATTGCTCTTCTCTACTTTCAATTTCCAATTTTTTCCTAGAACTTTTCTCATATGCCTGCAAATATGCTATCTTGATCATTTGTTTTGATTCTAAAAGCATTTTTCATTGCTTTATGATCTTCACATGGATATACCAGTGATTGATAATTATGTATGAAAGAACTGAATAATATTATCTTCCTTCTTAGTTTTTCCCTTTTTTAATCTTTTTCCTTCGACTTTTTGAGTTGCTCCTCTCCTTTGGTTCATATTATGCCACTTTGTATCTACAAACTATTTTCATCCAGGTAATTGCTTAATTTGTATTTATTGTAAAGGAATTTGTGGTCTTAATTCAATGTCGGCGGGGTGAAATGTTTGATTGGAAATTCATTGAGGAGTTACTAAGCTTGTTCTTGAAGATGCATGCGTTTCTCGACTTGTGCATGGTATAACCTTAAATTCTCACCTCCTCTGTAATTATCTCATTTATAAGCTTAAATTTTTCAGTGTGAACTTAAGTTTACTTATTAATGTACTCAATGTGACTTCACGCGTAAAGGGGCTAAGCATGTGAATATTCCTTTTTGACAATGGGCTCATCCCCGCCATTGATCTATAAATTTTCATATTCCGCAATTTTGGTTGTCAAAATTTTATTTGTTTATATTTTATTGAAGTGTATTGTGTAGTTCATCTCATCTACTAAGTGATTATTAGAGAAAGAATAACAAACATTTATCTTACTTAATTATTTTATTGTGTTAACAATTATGAATTACATTGCCCTTTTGCACCAAAGGATCACATTAATCATTAACTAGGGAATTAATTTCTTTATTTCCTACATCTACCTTATGTTTAAGTACAAAGTTGGGCAAAGTATAATATTAGTTTCTCTGCATCTTCATCTGATGTTGGTTGTTGTTCATAAGCTCTAGCATTTCTATAATGGATGCATTTGATCAACAACGTAATGAATTGAACACATCCTTAAATCTTCAGTTCCCAAAATTTTAATTTCAGATTCTCTTCTGAAAATCAATATTTTGTCTCTAATGGTGGGACAATATATGCATTACAGCCATCCTCTCGAGTACAAATAATGCGAGTGAAATTAGTGTATTTTTTTTCAACTTATAAAAATTGTTCTTTGTGAAGTCATTTAATAAAGATAGATTTGTTGAGTACAAATAAGATGAGAATGGTGAATGATTTGTAAAAATCAAATATATGTATATAAAAAAAATCCAAGAAAGGATATTTGTTACCAGTGTAGCGGGGAATCAAAATTATGGATATTTGATGCTTTTTTCGTTACTGTTTTCTCAAAGCTGATTTTGCATTTTCTTCTTCATGGTTGCTATTCGACATTTATTTTTATCCAATTCTACCATTGCGGGAGAGTTGATTCAGGTTCCTAACATGCTTTTTTCTACATCTCTTTTCTTTTAATATTAACAGAGCTACACATTACTCTCGCCAAGTTTATTTTTCCAAAAGAAATAGAAACATTAAGTCCTTAGCACACAATTTTTATATGATACTTTTATTTTTCTGCTTATCGTGATTTGAAAATTTCCTTAGTCGGAGAAGGTTACTGATTTTTGTTTCAATATGAATAAGGATTGAAACCAGTTCTCTTTGTTGAAGTTTTTCCTAGGTGAGACAAATGCATTTTTTTAATTCTATAGCCGTCTACTTTAATTTTTGTAGCCTTCTTAATTTCAAGTTTCTTCAGTTGATTATCTTTCACTTTTTTACTAGCTTCTTGAAGGTATCTCATTATAGCTTCTTACTATGTGGTTTGTGGAATAGCCAAGGTTGGTTATAGAATACTTAGCAGTGCCTAGCAGTGCAGTATAGCTCAACTTATTGAAATGATAAATCAAGACACATTTGAAGATACATATATTCGATGTCTCATAGTATTTTTGATAATGTACTTGTATTTTTACTTGTAGAAGATACCTATCTTATTAAACACAATGATATACAGAACAAATATTTTCATATGTAACAATATATTCCTAGAGAAGTTGCATATATTTGAAATTACAATGCTTTAACTATTTGAGTATCAACTTTCATTTGCAAGGAGTATTACTTTGGTTTATGACAAGCTGTTTTAAGTTTGGATAACATACACCCAATTGATGATAACTCTTTTGTTGCTCTTGCTCTTGCTCATACCACGTAAGTAGCGACAATATTGATAGAAATTTGTTATATATGTACTAGTAATACAGTGATTAAAAAGTGATGTAGATTGGTAATGGAAAAACAATTGTTGCCTGTAAAACAATTGAAGTTAAATACTTAATTAATAAAAAAAAATGAAGATGAGGAAAGCATCAAGAACCGTAAATTAATTTATATGTTTTTGTGTGCAGGGAAATTAGGGGTAAAAATAATAATAATATTATTGATAGTACTAAAGTTGATGTGGAAAATTTGCAGTAATATAGAATTTGTACAGAAAAGGCAGATTGTCTTCTCTTTCTATCTTAATCTTAGGCACTAGTTATATAAGAGTTATTGCCTCTGGTGTTCGAAATCAGTGGCGTAATCTTGATTTTATCAGGAATCACTTTCTAATAAATAGAATCTTAGTATATTGATATAGGTATTTAAATATTAAGTGTATCAAATTATTTAAATTTTATTAAAAGTTATGTTAATAGGGGAGTTTATACCTACCATTAGGTTTGAACTTTAGGATATTGATTATATAATTAGGTGAGTTCTGGAGTCTAGGTTAAACATAGAATAATTTGAGTGTTTATAGACTCGTCAACTTATAATTATGCATATATCTACATGATAGATTTGAAAAGTTCGGATGCATTGGGGAAAGAAAAAGCATTGGAGAAGTAGTTTGCTTGACATCGATTCTTTGGTGGAGGTAGGTTATGGTTTATTTATATTTGATAGATAAACTCTAAATAGAGATTGATATATATTGAGTGATATTGTAAAGTCTCCTATGTACTTGATTGTGTGGTTGTATCTTGATTGTGTGGTTTGTTGTTGGCCTAAAATTATGAGACTATTGAATTTCTAATCTTGAACCCTCTCTATTAAAATGACGCCTTGAATAAAGAAGGCTTGCTGAAATAAAATAATGAGATAATTGGATCGGAGTGTCACGTTCCGACACGGTATTATGGGATCGGAGTGTCACGTTCCGACACAATAACATTAAAGGCAAGGAATCTTGAATTAACTTAATATACTTAATCTCAAGGAACCTATTTCCCAAATGAGTATATGAACTTATTCATCTTGAAGTTCGTGATTTATTGATCTTTCACAAATCTTATTTATAATGAAGGAAAACCCTTTATTTATAGGAAAAACCTTACTTGATCCGCACATAGAATTTCTAACCATATCCTACAAGGACTCCACATAATTAGACATTCACTATAATACAAATTGTTTATAACATTAACTATCTTTTTTGAATTTATTTTTTAAAAATGATAGTTATCTAAATTACTATCCATAAGTTTTTAAAATTTGGCTAACTAATTTAAAATTTAAATTTGAAAAGATAAGAAACTAATCTTATCCTGTCCCTAGAAAAAAGTCAACCAAATAATGTAGTATTTAAATAGCAAGAACTATTTTTAACTTTTGTCACTTACATTTTCTTAAGAATCTACTAATTTCATAATTTCAGATTCTCTTATATTTATTCAACCACTTGAACATGGTAACATTTTTGGTTTTCCTGTTACTTTTTTATATTACATTTGTTTATGATGATAATTTTCGGTCTTTGAAGTGATGAGCAATTCATATATAATTGTGGTTGTATGCAAATGATTTAGATAGTAATTAGTAATTTATTTGTTATCGATGTCAAGTTTGAACAGGTCTTGATAATGATCATGACAGAATAAATATGAATATCTGCCTATGGAATCTACCTCTATTTGATATATCTATTGAAAATCCTATCGGACTGACGAAAAAGTACACTCTCATATATGTATGTACTCAATGGACAATTATGTTTACCTTTGTAATTATCATTGTGCAAGTAGAAATCGAATAACTCTATTTGAACTTGATTTTGAAATTGTATTACATTTTAAAATTTACATCTTTAAATTGTATAAAAATGTGTTTGATATGTTGAAAAAGTGTCATAATTTGAAATTAACAAGATGGTTTCATCTTTTGTTGAGTTAGCGAAGGAAATTCATTGTCATAATTTTATGAGAATTTGCACTTTTCACATTATATTTATTGGATAACTTAATTTTCTAAAACAATATTAATATCTTTAGTGTAAGTTGTAAATTCTTATGTTTTGTATTTATTTCAAATAACTATTAAACGTTGTAAATATATTGATTTAATAAAGTAACAAAATAAATATGGTCAGTCAAATGAGATAACTATTTTAGTGGATTTTTTTTCTCTAACAGTTTTAATGCATATATTAAAGTAAGAACAACAACACAATAATAACTCAAAGGAAATACGTATGCATGTGTACAATTATTTTGATTCATTTTATTTCTTTTTTTTTTTCAAAATACATGATTAATAAATATGTCATGTTTCTCTTCTTCTTCTTCTTTTTTTCCACATAGGGTTATATCTAGCTGGTAACAAAAGGAGCATAGATTCACCTTAACAGTCTTATATTTTTGAGTTGGTTATATCCAATTATTCTATTTAAATTCATTCAAATGCATTATTAATTTTCTTGATTTTGTAAAAATTTTCATGTATATATATTGTATTAGAAAATAAGGTGATAATTATTATTTACTCCATTTTAATTTATATGATCTATATTCACTAGATATGAAGTTCTAAAAATATAGAAATACTTCACAAATCAATATACCTAATAAAAGTTTTTTAAAAATAAGTACACTTTTATGATTTTTTTGTGTAAATCATTGAGATCCAAGATATACAAAATATTGATATTGATTGTACAATTAAATATTTATCAAATAATAAATGTGTCATTCTTTTTTCTTAATAACTAAACAATAAAGTGTGTGATACAAATTTAAAATAAGAAGATTATTTGTTAATTCAATATATATAAAAGTTTAAATTTCTAAAAATATTGTAAAAGTTTTCATTTAAAATAAAATAAAATCTTATATATATATATATATATATATATATATATAATAGGAGAGGTTATAGCGCCTAGTAGGGGTGTTCATGGTTTGGATAAAAATTGATTTAAACCGAAAAATCAAACCAAATAAATCGATTTAATTTGGATTTTGATTTGGTTTGGTTTTAGATTATTAAGACCGATAGTATTTGATTTGGTTATGATTTCTCTCCAAAAAAAGGAAGAAATAATCAAACTGAACCGAACCAAAGAGTTACATACATAAATTTTACTATAATACATACATAATATTTATATTCATAAACAATTTTAAAGAGTTGATATATGTTTCATAAAAAATTATTTATAATTTACGTATGAAAAAAAAAGGTCAAAGGTGAGAGCATTTTTCTTATCAGTTTCATGTGTATGAGTGTGTATCGAAATTCTTTGTGGGAGTGAAAATGTCCTTGTCTCTTTCTTCTAATGCCAAAATAGTGAATTTTGAAGTTTTATTCAGTAAATTCAATGATCGAAAGTTCTTTAATGACATTCATTCTAACTATTTTTTTCGTTTAACTGGATTGTTGTCACTTTTTTCACATTTTGAATGAATTGTTTATTTTATTTTTATGTATGGTTAATAGCCGAATAATCGAACTGAACCAAACCAAACTAAAATCGAAAAGAGCCAAACCAATAAATTTACATTACATTTGGTTTGGTTTGATTTTGATAATTTTAAAATCGATTATATCGATTTGGTTTTAATTTTGATCAATAGCCGACCCAAACCAACTGGTGAACATCCTTAGCTCCTACTTGTCATCGCCCAAAAAAACAGAATTTTAAAAATTAAAAATAATAAAATTGTATTTTAAAAAAATACACGTATATTAGTAGTTACTCATTTCAAAATTAGTGGGATCGGTTTTAAAATTATCTAATTTATGGAACTATCAAGTATTATCTTTTTAATATCTCAATTTAAAAAATACTGTTATATATATATATTGTTAGGACCGTAAATAAGC